ATGGATTAGGAGGTCCGACGAAAAACTGAAAAAAAGATGATACTAAACCGGATAGCGTAACCTCCACCATATTTTCTCAAAGTCATCTTTTTAAAATCTTTTAAGTTACCTTCACGGTCTGTTATATTGTATAACTATATGTATAACGTGGCTATCTAGACACTAAGGCGTTACAACCTTAATGCCGACAACAGACAGACAACAATTATCGCTGCGAAAGATTATTGTACCCCCGCATCAGAGGCCAATCGAGATCAAGGGCGTTTCACTGTCCTAGCAACTACCGACTTTCTCTAGTTGCAAAAGAAACGCGTGGGCTGACTTTCTAAAAAGCTCATGTGAACTGCCGAAACCATCAAAGCTAATCAGTAAGGCAGGTGGAACTCGCGAAACGTCGTAAACTACTGTAGCCAATACTTCAAAGTCGTTTGATCTCGCAGCTCCCACGCTTGGTTTATTTTAGCCCGCTGGCAATAACGCGGTTTTCAGCTAAGAGTTCCGTTTACTACTAAAATGGGCAAGTCGAAATTGACAACTCTAAACTCATTACTGACTGAAGCAACAACTATCGCTTCAATTAAGCTTAAAAAGACGACGACAGCCATAAAAACAACAGCTACGACCTTGGCCACGAAGCTTCAAGCTTCTACAAAACCAACCATATCCAAGAAAAAAACAAAACTTCCTGACCTATATACAACGTCTGCAATAACGATTTGGTCGACTACACGAAAAAGAGGTTGCATCGATTTCTACAATGAATATAACGAGTATTGCGCCGAAATCGGCGTATGGAACGGCGCTGAGTATTACACGTACAACGCTTATGGATATTTCAATGAAGACTACGATTACATATATTTCTATCCTCGCAGCCAAGAGTATCTCGACACATCATACGATGTCAACGGTTATAGGGATTACTATATGCCCGAAGACTATGACTTTACACCCGTGGGTCCGGTGTTTGGCGTAATTGCGATGGGCACCGTATGTTTTTATGAATACCTATTTAATATATTTCTATATATATATATTTCTTCCTGCCCTTTTAGATAAGCTTAATGGCGATCCCTGTGCTCCTCTTGGCTATGTATGTCATCAAAATTAATGATAAAATTGCGAAGGATATCAAACCACTATTCTATATCGAAACGTTGTGCCGGGCACTAATCGTCTTGATGCAATCACTATGGGGGATACAGGCCCGATTTTAGTGGGTGGAAATTAACAGTCGGGACAATAATTATATTGCAGCTTGTTCCTTTTTACGGACTTCTCGGACCTCCATAGCTTTTGGAATTATTGGCTTTGCGACAAAACGTTCGCATTTCTCTTCTACGTCATGGTATTCACGATATCGATGACACAGCTTATGATGTCCTTGAATAGGTATGCTTGGCCTAGGCTTTTGGAAGGCCATAAAAATTTCAGATTCTTCGCCGTCGAGTTCAACGGTCTCTACTATAGAAAAATACAATGGAAAATATTTTTTAAGCGTTTCGTGTAGTCGACCAAATCGTTATTGCAGACGTTGTATATAGGTCAGGAAGTTTTGTTTTTTTCTTGGATATGGTTGGTTTTGTAGAAGCTTGAAGCTTCGTGGCCAAGGTCGTAGCTGTTGTTTTTATGGCTGTCGTCGTCTTTTTAAGCTTAATTGAAGCGATAGTTGTTGCTTCAGTCAGTAATGAGTTTAGAGTTGTCAATTTCGACTTGCCCATTTTAGTAGTAAACGGAACTCTTAGCTGAAAACCGCGTTATTGCCAGCGGGCTAAAATAAACCAAGCGTGGGAGCTGCGAGATCAAATGACTTTGAAGTATTGGCTACAGTAGTTTACGACGTTTCGCGAGTTCCACCTGCCTTACTGATTAGCTTTGATGGTTTCGGCAGTTCACATGAGCTTTTTAGAAAGTCAGCCCACGCGTTTCTTTTGCAACTAGAGAAAGTCGGTAGTTGCTAGGACAGTGAAACGCCCTTGATCTCGATTGGCCTCTGATGCGGGGGTACAATAATCTTTCGCAGCGATAATTGTTGTCTGTCTGTTGTCGGAATTAAGGTTGTAACGCCTTAGTGTCTAGATAGCCACGTTATACATATAGTTATACAATATAACATATATATGGAAAAATGGGAAAGCCAAAGCTTACGACCCTAAATTCATTGCTAACTGAACGTACCACAGCTCCAACCCTTGCTGCAACGAACAAACTCCAAACTACATTAAAAGCCGTCAAAACAAAAGTTACGACCCTTGCCTCAACGATTGCGACAACGACAAAACCTAAAAAGACCACCAAATCGATCGTTGAGGCAGTCACAAGCGCCGAAAATATCGTCGGTTCAACCACCAGAACACGCGGGTGTATTGATTACTACGATGAATATAACGAATACTGCGCGACGATCGGAAAGTGGGATGGCACGTACTACTACTCGTACACGTCGTACGGTTATTGGTCGTATGACAACGATCCTGATGGGGAGTATATCCTTTTCTACCCCAAAGACTACGAACCCGGTCAATACAATTATATCGATTATTATGAGTCAGAAGATTATCTTGAGTCAATCGACGAGGTTTTTGGTTCTGTTTCGCTGGGAGCAGTAAGTTTTATTGTCATTTCTACGTATTAGAAATATTGACCGTATTAAATATTAACAAAAAAACTTTCTAGATCAGCCTAATTGCAATCCCCGTGCTCTGTATGGCTCTATACGTAATTAAAGTGAACGACAAGATAGCGAAAGATATTAAACCGCTATTTTATATCGAAACGCTATGCCGTGTGCTGATTATTATGCTGCAGACCTTATGGGGGATACAAGCTCAGCTTTAGTGAGTCCATTTCGGCGAGGAAATATAGAGTGCCCTCGTATAAACCATCTACAAAACCCACTTTCAGCCTATTGGTATTCACCTCTTTTGGCTATCCGGATGGGTCCTTTTTTTCCTATAACACTACGGATGAGATTCTGACCTTCCTGTATTTTCTCATGCTATTTACCATTGTCCTGACGCAGTTTATGATGTCGCTGACCAGGTATTAGTAGACTTCGCGGCTTACCTTAGGTCCAGGCTCAGGCTTAGGCTTAGCTTAAGCTTAAGCTCTATATCAAGTTAGTTTACGAATGCTTTCCAGATTCTTCGCCGTCGAGTTCAACGGTCTTTATTACGGAAAAATACAATGGAAAATTTATTGGAAGCTGCTGTTCATATTCCTGCCGTCAATCCTCCTGAATGCGCCATTCTTTTTCTGTTCGGTTTTCTTGTTATTTGACTGAGGGAGGAGCAGAATTATTAGAGGAGCTGCTTTAATCACCTCAATATTTAGCAATGTACAGCATGGGCCTCGAAGCGGATATGATGCAATTTCGGACCGTAGCCCTTATCCAGCAACGGATGGATCCGCAGTCCGCGGGCCTTCTTCGTTTATGGCTGCAGAGATATGAGAATGCTGTTCATTTCTATATTCCAATGTTGTTCTGGATTGGGGAGTCTGTGATGGATTGTATGGTGTTGAGGACTGTTTTTACGAACGCGGTAATAGTCGTCTACTTCCTTTCTATGCTCATTTTATCGTTACAGAAGAAAACGCGTGATGCACAATCGAAGAAGCGCAATATGGAACTACGACTGGCAATTACAGTAAGTTCATAGATATTACTAAGGAAATCTAACCGTTGCTTTAGACCCTGATCAACCATTGCGCAAATGCTGTCTGCACTGTCGGAAATTATCTAACAAATTTCTGGCATATGGGCCAGACTTTCCAATTTGTGGTCGGCTCGATGTTTCCGCTAGCGATCTACACGCTTTTCGGGTTAGAAAAAGTTCAAAAAAAATTAAATTCTTGCAGACTAAATATCATCGTATTCCTGTGGACGCGGCGAGGAGGAAACGATAGCAGCGCTTCGTCGAAAATCACGAAATCGAAGACTATGGAAAAACACCCTACGAAATAAGTCTGATAATGGAATCCCGATCGTCCTGGTGGTGTAATGTTGTTTTTACTAGTGAAACGAGGTTGAGAATTGCCCTAATAATTGCAAAAACGAATTTTATTGTGTGGATGCTCAACCCCAACTGAAAATTTTCCATTTCCTTTTCGTCGCTTTCTTTTCTGCCTCGGGCCGCATGAACATTATGACGATCATCCTAAATTGTGGCACCCTGAAACTACAAACGACGACCCACGACATCAGCGTCTGCGCGACCCCTTGCACCGTATTCCAATGATAGCATGCAATAAACACGTAGTGGTTAAGCATTATACGGAAATCCTTTGAACTGTCGGTGTTGAATGTGAGAGTGGGAATTATTTGGACGAGATGAGTCGAGATTGCCTGGAAACTCAATTAAGTATCTTCTATCTCGGAAAGGGTTACCATTATCGAAAGTCGGAGATCGGCGCTCGATTTTTGATCGTTTGCAGGGCGATGGCTCTGCTGAAATAAGGCAAGAGGCAGAGGGAGAGAAAGAGAGAGCGAGAGAGAGAGAGAGAGAGAGAGAGAGAGAGAGAAAGCAAGAGATAGAGTGAGAGTGAGTGAGTGAGAGAGAATTTATTGTTTTTGAACACCTACCATCATCCTCAGCCCCAAATACACGCAGATATCGGCGATGATGCTTAGCGTTGAGGCATGAAAATAGGCATATTCGAGTACCTGGCCGAAATAATACTGAAAAAGGAATCTTTACACATTTTTTTCTCTGAGAATCCCAAGCCAATTAAATCACAAACTCTATACCATGATTTGGCCTATACCTGGAACTCATCAGCACTGTCATCATAAAGAAACATCACTTGTGAATGACGATCAAGGTAGGGTCCCTGGTCGTACCAAAATGTTTGTTTGCGATGTTTGAACCAATATCCGCCAATTGTAGATGCATACATTACCCCTGTCCCGGTCAATGAGATGATGACCAAGGGGATCGCCATTTTTTGCACGTTATGGTAGTAAAGTCCGTCGAAAAATATGGCAAATATCCTACATTTTATGATCCAAAAAGCCACGCGCTACGCAACCTGTTGATGGAAAGTCCGAGTTCCAAAAAAACCATCGCCCGATTGACGACCATGTAGAAGGTGGTGACGACAATATTTGTTAATGTCGCGTAGGCATACCCAGCCATTTGATGCCAACAATTTGTGCTACAACACGCATTTCACAAACGCCTCCAAAGCGTACCGATGCGTGCACATTGCAAAGAAGCTGCGCGATATGGCGCTGGCCAGTCGCAGTACGGCCAGCGCCACCATCAGCACACGCACCGAGAAGGCCAAGCGGGATTTCTTTAGGATAATGAGGATGGTGTAGACGTGGATTGGAATTGAGAATAGTGTTAACTAAAACGTAGATTGCCCTCAAAATCAGCGGTTAAAATCTTACCCCAGCAATGGGTAGGAAAAAGGCATAGAACATCCTTGGGCCAGTATCCGGGACTTTTGGCATTCTAATGATTCCTGGAAACGATATAAATAAAATGATAATATAAAATATAATTACCAAAACACAGAGAACATAGGTTTCTGGTAAAGGTTTCTAGTGCATAAAAGCAAGCTAAAAATGGTTATGAAATAAAGAACACAACATTAAAATTATGATGAGTGAAAATGCAATCAAAAATCCTTTCGCTTTCGGCATGTTGTTCATCAGCAAATTTGAAGGGTCCTGTTTAATAACACGATTTTCGACAGCGTCTGATAATTATAGCCTTCCGCAGAGCACCGGTAATTATTGGGAGAGCGATAAAACGCTAACTGTATTAGGCCCTGAGAATTTGTGGCCCTCATCAATCCCACTGATGCCGCGGGACACGACTGATTTTGATGGCTTGACATTAGACTATAATCTCGAGCCGCGAGATGTCTACGAGACCAATCACGATACACTAAATGCTGAGCTCGACAAGATTGTCAACCCATTTCTGCTCACGGTCCGATTAGTATACCTTGATTTAAAGTATCTTTCCAGGTTGGCAGCTTGCAATGCTTAATCGCGCTGATCTTCTTTTTCCCGCTATTTTTGAGGCGTGCTTCGCTTGGCCGGCTCCTTCTTTTCCTGATACCGTATTCGATCGGTTCGTTCTATGATGGACTCGTCCGGTTTTATCAATACAGCTGCAATGCCGAGTGTGTTTCATTGATTCTTTTTAAACGTTTCCATTAAAGAACAAGAATTTAGCTGGTCCTGCCACACGCCAGGAGTAAATATTTACATAAACCTCTATGTTACCTGCATGCACGTTGTGGTGATGAAATGGTTTTGGCTTTTACGATTTGGCATTGTGATCGAAAGGTGTCATTTTCGGATTCTTAATATGAAGCAGACGTATAACGGCAATTTTCACACCTTTACAATATTCGGGCCCGAAAGGGGTTTTAGAGGTCTAACGATCGGGTACGAACATTACTATTCCCGGGGCGTAAGAATTTTCTCTGGCGTCTGGACTCTAATTTCCGTAATGGTGCCAGTAATCAGCAACATGACCCATATCGGTTATGGCTACACTTGGGAAAGTAAGCGGCCCCAGCGCTAAAAAAATAATTTCCAAACTTTTAATTTTAGCCTACAAGCATCGCAGATATTACGGCTATGCCTATTATCCGACGATATACTCGGAACGGACCGTGTATGTTACAAAATACAAAAAAATTAAAGGAGACGTTCAGCAGCGCCGGTTTTCCATGAAACGTGCAAAAGTTGGATGTATTTCCGGTTAGAGAGCGAATGTGAGACGTTTCGCAATTCGCAAAATGCAAATTTTTCCACGATTCGTGGAAAAAGGGAACTGCTGAAAGTGCCCCCTTGAATTCTATAAATTTGTTTAGGGATGGCTATTATTTCACAGATCGGACACCAACAACCGACTTCTTCTACGCCCTCCTCCAACCTCACCTGACGCCCGCGTCGTTTTTTCTAGGAATTCTGGTGACATGGCTGGAGGCACGAAAAGTTTGCTTGGCTTTCAATTTTGTATGTGTTTTATTGCGTAGAAAATATCGGATTCTGGACACCGTTTCCAAATGCTGGCAAGCTTCATGTTTTGGGTGGGTCGTCTAAAGAGCTGGGTGAAAGCTTTTCCTGCTCTCATTTTTTAGTACACGTTCGGCTGTGCATGGGCCCTCGCCGGTATGATGTTCAAACTTCTCTGGAGCGTCGGATACAATTACAATCTGTCTGGATCGGATCGCTTTTACTATTTCCTATCCGCAACTTCCTTTGACGCAGTGGCAAATTTGGGGGCCAGGTAGCACTTCTAAACCTATAAAATTATCACAATTTTAGTGCATGTCTGGTCGTTGCGGTGTGGTTTTGCAGAAAGAAACAAACATGACTTTTTCGATTGGTTGCATTTGTTCCTGTGGCTTTCACTGGTTCCTTGAGATGTTGCTGATGATACTTGAATGGAGACTTGATGCACCTTCCACTGGTACAAATTGACAACCCATTTCTATTGCTTTGATGCTCTTCCCAAATCGAAAATTCGCCATTTCCTCTTTTTTGGTTTGCTCTCCCCATCGAGCCGCATAAACAATATAACAATTATCCTGAAGATTTGTGACCCAATAACTACAAACTTCAACTCACGACATCAACGTTTGTGCCACCCCATGTACCGTATTCCAGTGATAGCTCGCGATAAACACGTAATGGACCAGCAAATACCGAAAGTCGCGCGAACTTTCGGTGTTGAATGTTAGGGAGGGGATGATTTGCACAAGGTGTGTCGCAATGGCCTACAACCTGAAGTAAAGATTAAAGATAAGATTACCATAATCGATAATCGTAGATCGGCGCTCGCTTTTTGATCGTTGGTAGGGCGATGATGTTTCGAAAAAGTCAAGGCATTTTCGGAGCTCTCTTGTTGCAAGAAAAGTGCAAGCGCTGTCTTAGAATTTCAATCCAAAATCAGCAAAAACGCAAAGCACAATTTCTTCTATTAATTACCCTTTCGCAGCGCTAACTTTAAAGTATCATTCTCCTTCTTTTCGCGTACAATTAGCGAGATTTTTTACACGCAAGGATTCCACACGCGTGCGTGGAATCCTGAGTTTTTTTAAGAAATTCCAAGGTAATTCATGCACTTTCGAAACTTTCGAAGACGAAGACGAAAACACTTTCGAAGCAAAGCTCTCTTACAAGGATCCGCAACTTCAAATAAACGCAGGCATCGGCCATGATGCTCAACCACGATGCGTGCACATACGCTCGATCCATGAATTGCCCGAAATGATCCTGAAAATCGACCAGCGCGTTAATTTTAATTTGCCGCTTTTGTGTACGTAGTTGCTCTCATTTAGGTGTGGATCTCCTCGCCTCGACGATGCATTACCTGAAATGCGTTAGGCCAACCAAGACCATCAGCCCAATCATTCTCAATAAAGCGCACTTGAAAATCCATATCGATGTACGGCCCGGAGTCAATCCAAAATGTTTGTTTGTGGCGCTTCCACCAATATCCGCTAATCGCAGCGCCGTACATGGCCAATGTTCCAGTTAATGACAAAATTATCAGGGGAATTGCCAATTTTTGCGCATTATGATAGTAAATTCCATTGAAGAATATCGCAAATACCCTGCAAAATGACGTTATATTTGAAAAAATTCAAAATTTTAATACGGACGGTTACGCAACAAGTAGTGGTTATTATTTAGATCATGAGCTAGCATTGCAATTTAATACAGTTCATTCGAAAGAGCTTGAACATTCTGAACAAGTTGCACCTATTAAAACAGTTGGTGGATAATGGTTTTCGGGGAAAATGCAAAACACCTGTTCACAGAAAGTCCGAGCTCCAGAAAAACGGTCGTCCTATTGGCAATCAGGTACAGAGTGGCAACGACGACATTTGTCGGCGTCGGATAGTAATATCCCGCATAACAAACCCAGCAATTTTTCCTGAAAGTGCCGTTAGCAAAGATTGCAGCAACCGACCGACGCCCACACATGGCAAGGAAGCTGCGCAATATGGCGCTGGCTAGGCGTAATATCGCCAGCGTCGCCATCAGTATCCGCACGGAAAAGGCCAAACCGGATTTTCTTAGGATGCCGTAAATGGTATAGCAGTGTATTGGGAGAGAAAATAATGTCAGCTGAAAAAGGGTGGGTTAATTGAAACACCATTCAAAGCCCACCCCGGTAATTGGCAGAAAAAAGGTATAAAACATTCGTCGGCCAGTATCCTTTACTTTGCCCATTCCCAGCGTATAGTTGTTGTTGATGTATGACTCTATATACAATATTTTATATTTTTGTAATAACTGAAATATGACTGTGAATGTGAAAGTGAAAATGCCTCAGAAAAAAATGTTACTGCTTCGAATTCAACCTCTCATTTCAATGGGCCATTTGGACCCCATGTTTTGGCAAAATTTTTGTAATTAGGGGCCGTCCAAGGTTACGGTGCCTAAGGGTTGGCACAAGCCACCAAAAATCGAATGAAGAATGATTCCGAACAATTCTCATTGTTCACGAACCTGAAATGCCTAAGGAACGCGAGGATTACGAGGGTCTTACTTACGATTATAATTTGGAATCAAGAGAGTTATTCGAGAAAAATCACAATCGTCTGAACAGAAAGCTTGACAAGGTGGTCAACCCCTTTCTGTTGACGGTATGCTTTATATTGCCGTAAGTGAAAGGATCTGGCTTGTCATTAGTGTTGTACATTTTTATTATGTTTCAGATCGGCTGTCTGCAATGTTTCGTCGCCATTTTATTCATTGTGGTGCTTATATTGCGCAGAGCTGTATTTCAGCGGCATCATTATTATTTGATACCTTACTCGATTGGATGTTTCTACGATGGTATTATACGATTCTACCAACTTTGCTGCAATTTCGAGTAACCCTACTTTCAATTAAGGCGTTTTTCCGGCGTATTTTTTGCTATGCATCAATTAGCAATATAATATTTAGTTGGTTCTATCACATGGCAGGTTTCGATATCTATGTAAATCTGTATTTAACCGACATGCATGTTGTGGTCGTCAAATGGTTCTGGTTGCTACGTTTTGGGATATTGATCGAAAGGTCTTGTTTCGAGGTTAACATCAATATTCTCAGGGGCTTAACTATTGGATATGAAGACTATTATTCCCGGGGTGTCAAATTATTTTCTGTTTTTTGGGTATTTATATCGGTAGTGATGCCGATTCTCAGCAACATGACATTTATTGGGTATGGCTATACCTGGGAAGGTGAGGCAAAAACGTTAAGGATCAATATGTCTCTAACTACTTGAATATTTTTAGTTGTCGTGTTGTCGTTTAATTGACTTCACCGGCATAGCATTATATCCATTTTCAGCGTACTACCACAAGAGATACTACGGTTGGGCCTATTTTCCTTCGATATACTCGGAGAGAACGGTGTATGTCGTGAAACTCACAAGGAGTGCTGTTTTTCGAGTCATCGGC